AGCATTTGCTGTTTCCTGTTTTTTCTGTTTAGACTGATGCGAGATGATACCGCTTCCTTTAGTCAAGAAAACCTTTTTTAAAAAACTTTTTACAACATTGGTTTCATACAATGTTTGTCCTTTCGTGATTCATTAATTTCACTCAGTATAATGTCCTCTAGGTTCATTCATGTTATGAGGTGTTTCACAGATTCATCATTATTCTTCAACATTTTATAGTATTTCATTGCGTTTATGTACAAAAGTTTGTTTAAACATTCTGATGTTGATGGGCATTTAGGCTGTTTCTGCTTTTTTTTGATATGTCTCTTGTAGACAGCATATTGAAGGATCCTGTTTTCTTATCAGTTCTGTTCTTTATGTCTCTTGACTGGTACATTTAATTCATTTACATCCAGTGCAATTATCAATGGATGTAAATTAATGTCATTTTCTTGTGAGTTTTTTGTGGTGCTGCTAGAAACTTAGTTCCACATAATTTTCTATGCTGAGTTCATTTTGTTGGTGAGTTTTCTTGTCGTTTTAATTTATGTTGTATTAATAGTTACTAAATCTTTCTGATTTTCCTCTTTTTTTTACTTTGATATTCAGCTGTATTACTTTTCTTTCAGATTATCCTCTAATTTATTCATTTTTCCCAGTTTAAAACAGTCTGTTTTATCTTGAAATCTACTTGACTTCCTTGCCATTTGAAAGTTCTGTATCTACATTATTCCCTCTTTTTGCTCTGTCATTAACTTTATTATACATTGATATCTCTGTTTCCCTGTTTTCAGTCTTACAGTTTTAAATACTTCTATATCTGGATTGAAAGAACTATGGTAGCGTAGTTATGAATCAGGCTGCTTATCTCACGGTCAGCAGTTCGAAACTACCAGTTCTGCGGGAGAAAGATGAGGCTTTCTGCTCCCGTAAAGATTTACAGCCTCGTTAACCCTGTTCTACCCTGTTCAGGGTCACTATGGGTTGAACCGACTCCATGGCACTTAACAACAACAACAAAGATTTACAGCCTTGGAAACCCTGTACAGGGTTGCTATGAGTCAGGACTGACTCCACGGCACAGAACAATAACATACCTGGATTGAGTTCCGGGTGGTGGTGTGCTCAGTCGTAATTTTCATCTCAGATTATTGTCTGCTGTTGTTGGTTTTCAATCCAAAGAACCCCCTTCAGCATTTTTGCAAAATTAATCTGGTCGTTATAAGTTCCTTTAATTTCTGTTTATCAGGAAATGTCCTAATTTCACTGCTGTATTTGAGGGACAGCTTTGCTGGGGTTATGCTTCTTGGTTGGTGATTTTTTTTTTTCTTACAGAGTTTTTTGTATGTCATTTATTCCATTGCCTTCTTGCCTGCATGGTTTCTGCTGAGCAATCTGAGCTTTGTTGTGTTGGTTCTCCTTTCTAGGTAACTTCAGTTTTCCCAGGCCTCTCTCAGGATCCTCTCCTTGTCTTTGATTTTGAAAAATTTTTTATCATGATATGTACTGGTGATTTTCTCTGGAAATCTAACCTTTTTGGGATTCATTCAGCTTCTTGTATGCATATTGTCTCATCTTCCATGGTGTTAGGTCAGTTTTCTTCCAGCAGTTCTTCTATAGTTTTCTATGTGCTTGTCTCTTCCTGTTCTGGAGTTGCAATCACTGTAAGTTTTTCCACTTCGTGGTGTCCCATATAACTCTTAAGCTTTCTTCAGATTTTTTCATTCCTTTTTCTGATCATTCTTCTAGCATGCTACTTTTGAGAGATCCTGATGTGGCACTGTGCTAGACTGCAAGGTCGGGTGAACCGCAGTGTCAGTTGTTCATGCTCACCAGTTGCTCCTTGGAAGCCCTATGCAGGGTTGCTGTGAGTCAGAACCGACTGAACGGCGCTTAAACTCAGGAGCACCTTCAATTTGAGTTCCATTGCTTCACATCTACTCCTATGCCCTTTCAATGCATTGTCCATTTCTGAGATGTTAGTATTAATCTTCTGGATTTCTAATAGCAGGTTTTGTATTGTTTAAAAATTTAAATTTATCTTGTCTGTTCTTGTAATGTTTTCTTGAATTCTAAAGTTTGTATTGTGTTCTCTTTCTTTCCTCAATCTTTCTATTAATCCTTTGAGGGTATGGTTACGAATCGGGCTGCTAATCTCAAGGTCAGCAGTTTGAAACTACGAGCTGTTCTATGAGAGAAAGCTGAGGCTTTCTGCTCCTGTAAAGATTTACAGCCTTGGAAACCACGGCACATAATAACAACAACAATTATCATTATTTGAATTCTTTCTCAGTTAGATCTATTACCGTTTCTTCCTCAGAAACATCTTCTGGCTCTGCATCTTGTTTTTTTTTTTTTTTTTTGAGCCATCCTCTCTTTTTCTTCGTATGAGCTAAAATGTCTGTTGTCTCTGGGGCATTATGAGGGTGAGTATTGTATAAAAACAAACAGTGCAGTTGTTGGATCTGGAGGGGAGAGATCTTTTCAAAGAACTCATGAAGTGGTTGTCATAGGAATGTGACTGCAGAGTTCCTGGCCCTAGATGGAGTTTCTGTTGGCCTCAATATTATCTTTGTTCTAAACACTCAGTCTGGAAATAATTTGGGGGTCCTTGATGCAACTATGTCAGTTTCTGTTAGGACCACTAGGAAGCTGGGGGCAGGGTGACTGGTTAAATGTTGGTCTGGTGGTTCTGTGGGTTTAGTTGGTCTGAAGCTGAACCCACCTGAATCCAGGCCCCAAAATGGTAACCGAAAGTGGCCCAACTGGCGTGGTTCCGAACTTCCAGAGAGCAGGGTCTGCACTGGAGGTATGGGGGTGGCAGCTGGCCACACTCTGGTCACCAGGGGAGCATGGGACAAAAGAAGAAATCACACTTTCCTGTTACCAGTGTGAATCTGCTCTGTCTGGCTTCCCTCTACTGCTGAATCTGCTCACAAGGTGATTGAGTGGTGTCTGGATATCCCTTCACCAGTCAGTCTCCCTCTCTCACCATCCCTGCTTATCCTGTCCTTCCAGCAAACACTCTATCCACCTCTCTAACCTTCCTTTTGAAGTTCAGGGTGCTGGAATTTTCATCTATGTCTGTTTTATTTGGTGATTTTAATGTTTATTGTAAAAGGGCCTTCTAGTGCCTGTTCTTCCATTTTTGTAAATCTCTTTTGGTTTCTTAAAGTGTTTTGTAGTTTTCTTTGTTTAAGTCTTTTGTTTTTCTGGTTAGATTTGTTCCTAAATATTTCATCCTTTCAGTAGCTGTTGTAAATGGTTATTTTTTTCCTAATAACCTTTCAGAATTGTCTTTACTAGGATATAGGAATCCAACTGATTTTTGTATATTGATCTTGTACTCTGCTACATTGTTGAGACTCTTCCAAAGAGTTCCATTAATTTCTTGCTGAGTCTTTGGAATTTTCTATGTCTAGGATCATATCATCTGCAAATAGAGAGTTTTACTTCTATGATAATTTGGATGCCTTTAATTTCCTTTTCTGGCTTTATACCTCTGGCTAAGACTTCTAACTCTGGTAATGTAGTGGTTAAGAATCAGGCTGCGAACCTTGGGAGAAAGATAAGGTGTTCTGCTCCCTTAAAGACTTATAGCCTCAGAAAACCCGGTACAGGGTCTCTATGATTCGGAACTGACTCCACGGCACACAGCCACCAAGACTTCTAACACAATATCGAATAGGAGTGGTAATAAAGGGCATCCTTTTCAGATTCCTGTTCACATTGGGAATGCTTTCAGTTTCTGTCCAATGAAAGTGATGTTGGCTGTTGGTTTTGTATATGTGTTCTTAATTATGTTGAGGAATTTCCCTTTAATTCGTACTTTGTTGAGTGTTTTTATCAGGAATGGGTATTGGATTTTTCTCAAATGCCTTTTCTGTATCATTCAATATGATATGTGGTTTTTCCCTTTTTTAATTTAATTTTCTAATACTAAACCATCCTTGCAGTCCCTGGTATGAATCCCACTTAGTCTTTATGTATTCTTTGCCAATATTTTATTTAATTCTATTGGATAGGATTTTGTAGAGAATTTTTGCATCTATGCTCATTGATATGGAGGGATATTGGTCTATAGTTTTCTTTTTAAGTGATGTCCTTGCTTGGTTTTGGTATGATGGTTATGCTCACTTCATAAAATGTACTAGGGAGTGTTTCATCTTTTTCTGTGTTTTGGAATTGGTGCCAACTCTTCTGTGAATGTTTGGTAAAATTTTTGGTGTACAATTCTGATAAATGCACAGTGCCATATAACCATCACACTCAGGATATAGACAGTCCTATCAGCCCCCCAAATTAATCTTTTTTTTTAAATCTTTGATTCACTTTATTTTGATTTGCCCTTTTTTTCCCCTTTAGAATATTGGTTCTTAAAAAGGTCATTTCTGCCCTTCATGAGTTGTTTGACAGTGTTTGAAGACATTTTTAGTTGTTACCACTAGGGGAAGTGCTTCTGACATCTGCAAGGTAGAGCTCAGAGATGCTGCCAGATACCCTACATTACACAGGACAGCCACCAAAACAAAGAATTTACGTGGTCCAAAATGTCAGTAGTGTTGAGGTTGAGAAACCTGTTTTAGAAGAGTTTTCTGTTTTTCTCTTTTTCCCCATGTAAATTCAGATAAAATGAGCATTGGAGTTGATTTTCATTTATATTACCAGGTAGTGGTGGTGGTGTGCCATGGAGACAGTTCCGACTCATAGCAACCCTGTACAGGGTTTCTAAGGCTGTAAATCTTTATGGGAGCAGAATGTCTCATATTTCTCCCACGGAACAATTGGTAGTTTCGAGCTGCTGACCTTGAGGTTAGCAGCCCAATTCATAACTACTATGGTACCAGAATGCCAGGTAGACTAGTCTGCAAATATAGATGCATATTTGTTATACTTTGGTGAAATAGATACTAAAACATGTGGGGTTTTTTAATAGCTGTCTTATTTGAAATTTTAATTTTATACTGTTCTCTTGAATACTCGAAATTGATTGCAATTTGGGTGTTTTGTATGTCTAGATCATTCAAGCACACGGGGGCACTGTGGATCCCACGTTCAATAGTCGATGTACACACCTTCTTTGTGAAAGTCAAGTCAGTGGTATGTATGCACAGGTAAGCAGCATGATCTAAACTGTGACTGTGGTAAAGTCTGTTTATAATATTTAAGATTATTTTTGTTGTTAAGAATGTATTCAGCAAAACACACACCAACTCAGCAGTTTATACATGCATAGTTTGCACAGTTCATTGACATTGATTATATGCTTCCAGTTGTGTAACCATTCTTACCCTCTTCTTCTGAGTTGTTCTTCCTCCATTCATTGTCCTCTAAGTTTCCTGTCTAATCTTTTGAGTTACTGTTATTAACTCAATCCTATATAGATCTTTAGAGAGCACAAAATACTCAAGGATATAATTTAATTATATGTAGTCTTTAGATTCTAGTGATTATTGCTTTTGGAAAGGACTTTATTCTATCTTTCAAAACAGGCAAATTTCTTCTTAATAATTTTCACTGATTCTTAGGAACATAGGCATTGGCAGATTTAATTTTCAACAAAAAATGTAGAACTACTTAGGTTTTTTTCCCATGTGATTATTTTAGGTGGGTAATCATATTTTTATATCCTGTGATATATCAAGTCTTTAGTGTTCTTAAGGACTCCCTAGGTGATGCAGACATTTAAGCGCCTAGATCCAAAGGTTGGCAGTTTGAATCCTCTCAGAGGTGCCTTTGGAGATACACCCAGCACTCTACTTCCAAAAGACCACAACCATTGAAAGCTTGATGGGGAACAGTTCTACTCTGAAACACATAGGGGTGCTCTGTGTTAGAAGGAACTTGACAACTGTTTTTGTTTTTTTCTTTATTCTTAATCAGAGAATTTTAAGGAGCTCTGGTAGGGTAGTGGTTATGAGTTGGGCTGCTAACTTCAGGATCAGCAGTTCAAAACTACCAGCCGTTACATGGGAGAAAAATGAGGTTTTCTGTTCCCATAAAGATTTATAGCCTCAAAAACCCTATACAGGGGGAAGCAAACAAGATGGCAGAGAGGGTAGAAGTGCAGTGAGGAGCTCTGTCAGCAACAACACAAAATACCAGACCAAGTAAGCTCAGGGGATGGTCCCAGAATGCTAACCACATATAAAGGAATATTTAGAAAGTTAGAAGGCTTACAGCCTGTGGAATTTGTATCAGAAGCAAGAAATCCAGTGCTTTCTAGTTCAAGGCTCTCAGCTGCTCCCTGAGCGGCCATCTTGGGTGAGACCGAACAGTGGAAGGATCTGAGCAGCCGCGGACACCTGGCAGAACCGTGGAGATAAAGGTGTAGACATTCTTTATTTTTATTTTATTTTTTAATCAGTTCATTGGTCTCTCTCTGGCTGTCTGTGCACCTCCAGTCTGGTGATTAGAAGGGGTGCCTGAGCGAGTGGACACCCAACCCCAACTCCCTGAGGGTTCTATTATGCATGCACACACATCTCAAAATTTAAAGAGACAGTTTCCACTTAAAACCAAATGGCAACACAAAACGACTAAAGCTGGCCCTGAGCTGTTTATCACTAGGAAAAAGGCCTGGACAGGGATGGTGGAGTGGCACCGGTAGACAAAAAAGGAAACAGGCCAAGAGTTAAATCCTGAGTTGTGTCATAACAACCAACAGTGGCATCTTGAAATTTGTTAGGAAGAAAAGTGAAAAGGGAAGCCCATCTCCTGATCACATCTACCTGGAGGCAATCAGAAAGCATAAAAAAAAAAACTAAAACACACACCCATCTAAGTATTAAGGCCACACCTAACTATTGAATATGCCCAAAAACCAGAAACAGATGACCATATCAGCACATGTCCAGAATCAAGATAAAGTTACTGAGACAAATGAGCTGGTATACTCCATACTAGAAGGAGGGCAGGCTTTGGAAATGCCTGAGAAGGAATTCAGAAAAATGATTATAAATACAATGGAGTTGAGAAAAATAAGGAAGAAGTCAGGAAAGTGCTACAGGAACAATCTAATAATATAGATACAGCATTGTAAACAATTCAAAACCTACAGAAAGAGGTCCAAACGATTAATAGAACATCAGAAATGGATAATACACTGAAAGGGCAAAGGAGTAGAATTGAGGAGATGAAAGCCAGAGCTAGTGAGCTGGAAGATAAATCTCTCAATACTACTAAGAATGAAGAACAAGCAGAAAAAAGGATAAAAAATTCTGAAGAAGCTCTAAGATTCATGTTGGACAAAATGAAGAGGAAGAACTTAAGAATTATTGGCATTCCCTAACAGGAAGAATCACACAAGTCCTCAGAGGTGATAGTTGAAGAGCTGCTGGAAAAAAAATTTTCCTGACATCCTGAAAAGTGAAAAGATAAGCATTCAAGAACTCAACCAACCCCAGGAAGGAAAGACCTTAGAAGAAAATCACCAAGACATAATAATCAGGCTCTCCAAAATCAAAGATAAGGACAATCCTGAAAGCAGCTAGGGAAAACAGAAGTGTTAACGTACGAAGGCAAGAAGGCAATGGGGAGACATATAGAAAACCCTGAAAGGAAAAAGCTGCCAACCAAGATTCCTCTATTCAGCCAAATTGTCAATCAAATACAATGGTGTAATCAAAACATTCCAGGATAAACAGAAGCTAAGGGATTTTTCCAAAGCCAACCCTGTGATGAAAAACATCCTAAAGGGACCGACAAGAACAGACAACAACCAGAGATTAATGTATGTGGCAGTATCACCCGGAACTCAATCTACAAATGGAATAGTCGAGAACAGAATAAAACTGTAAAATTCAGAGGATCTGGGTGGTCAATCTATGATCCAAACAATTACAACGTGAAAGAAGGTAGACACAGAGGAACAGAAATCTCCAGGTGGTGAGAAGATCAAGTAGATTCCACGATAAAATAGACTGCCTTAAATGGAGGATAAAGTTAATGGAATATAAGGTAACTTACATTGGTGGGGTTGGGTTGGGCAGTTTACGGGGAGGTAGAGTGAGGCGACAGTAGAGCATGGGGTAGGGGGCAGACACATCATAGTTCGGGTGTTGGGGAGGGCAATACAAGAAGGGGGAGGAGGTGGAAGAACAAGGTAGATAGGGGAACAATGAGACAGGTTTACATGGGCTAAGTGGGACAGAGGTAAATAGTGATGCATGCTCAACCTTGGAACAACAGGGCTCTGTGATACGGGGACCTAGGCATAGTTTGAAGAGGGGAAATAATACTAAGATGCTTGACTGTCTTATGTGTGTTGGTTTTCCTTGCCTACTGTTATAAAATAGACACTTTAGTGGGACAGAAAGGAATGTTGGGAAACATGGTTACAGAGAACTTGTAAGCTTGTCTTCAGCCTATAACTAATTGGAATACCTAAAAGGGGTTTTAGAACTTGCCCAATGAAATAGGCGTCTTGCGGAGCCTTTGCAGCGTATAAGACTTTAGGTAGAATCCTCAGTCCCATTGAGGTGGGACAGTCCCACTAGAAAGGATATGCGGACCAGCCTGGAACAGCTGGAGTGTCAGAAGGTACACCTTTAAAGAAAGATCATAAGGAAAAGCCCAAAACAAAAATGTCAGTATGGCTAACTACTACAAGAATAAGCAAGCTGTTCGCGGGGAAGCCATCAAGGCAAGCAATCAAGTTCCTTCAGGACAAACCCCCCGGTAAGACTGAAACTCAAAGGGAACACATGAGCAGGCATGTAAGCTTGCTGGTGACCACATTGGTCTAGTGGTGAGTGGAAGAGGGGGAAAGGCAATGAAGAAATGGGCTGAATTCAACCATGGTCCATTGACTTCCGTTGACCTGGAGATGAGAGAGGGAAGAAGAAGGGCTTATTGGTCCAAAGTGTCGGTGAGACCTGGGGACACCTGAGCCCATGGACAAGGACATAGCCACATAGGGCTAGAGCTGAGAGTGAAGCATCCAGCTGGTATGAAGTGAGGGGAGATGCACAAAAACATACAAACCAGATAGTACCCATTTGATGAAGCTTCGATGGCTTGATAATCAGAACTCAACTAGGGGAAGATTTAAAAAAATTTTTTTCATACAGGAAACAAGGGTAAACTGCTGCAATTTGATGAACCTGACTAAACTTATCGAGGTAGTAACTCTAAATACCAACAGAGAGGGAAGGAGTCTTCACATCAAGTATCAATGCTATCCCCTCTTCACATAGGGTAGAAAAGGACGGGCAACTTAGACATTGGCTACATAAAATGAAGGGACTGAAAAAAATCACGAAGTGACTGGCTTACATGATTTCAAGAGGGAGTTTAAGAGTTTGTGGGGGAAGAAAGAGTCCTCACTGAATACTTTTCTCTTGTCTATATGGGTCTGGTTAAAAGAGGTGGGGGTAAGATTCTTATGATTCAATAGTGAGTAGTTGTTATCATGACTAATTGCGACTCTCACAATTGTAAAGGTAATTTTGTAACAAAAATGGGGGAGCAGTTAATCTTACAGTCCAGAAACAAAGGACTCTAGGACCATCAGGGGAGAAGAGCACAAGCGGAATGCGTGACCTTATCCCGAGAAGCAGCGACAGCAAAGATTGAGGCAGAGTTGGGGATATGAAGAGGGGGAGCAGCTGAGGACTTTAGATTCATGGGAAGAGAGGGACGAAGAGCTGGTGGCCAGGAGGCAGACTTGCAGAATGTGCCCTTTGGTGGTGTAAATTATTATATATGCCTGAGTGTTTAAAAAAAAAGAGCTAAAGTGAATAGAGATGGTGCATGGAGGGGATTGTAGTCATTGCGATGAAACAAGTTGTATGATTGTTGAATGTAAAACAGATGATCTGCCCTGCAAACTTTCACTCAATCAACAATAAAAGCTTAAAGAAAAAAAAATTACCAAAAAAATATTAAAAAACCCTGTGCAGGGTCGCTGTAAGTTGGAACCGACTCCATGACACACCTCCACCAGAGAGTTTTAGTTTTCATGATCTTAGCTGTTATTTTATGATTAAAGCAACTTTTAATGTTTTTATGAAACTTTTTTTTCTTCTTTTGTCAGTTATTTTTTAACTATTAAAACAAAACCAACCAAACTCCCTGCCATTTCATTTGATTCCAACTCACAGCAAACCGTATATAGCATAGAATAGAATTACTCCTTAGGATTTCTGAGACTAACTCTTGAAGGAAGCAGACAGCTTTACTTTTCTCCTATGAACAGTTGGTGAGTTTGAATCACTAGCCTTTCAGTTAGCACCCCAATGCCTAACCACCACCAGACTCCATTTGTTCATATGTAGATAGTAATACTTTGACACTGTTAAAGTGAATCAGTTATACTGTTTTGCTTTGTTACATTAATAAACTTCTTGTTAAACTTCTTGAAATTCGTTTATTTCTAGGGTTTCCAATATAGATGGCATTATAGTTAACACAACTTTACAATTTTGTGCTTTACCATGCAGCAAAAAAACAAACCCTAATTTTGTTTTTCATAGGCAATAAGAGAAAGGAAGAGATGTATTACTGCACATTGGTTAAATGCAGTCTTTAAAAAGAAGAAAATGGTACCACCTCATCGAGCTCTTCATTTTCCAGTGGCATTCCCACCAGGAGGAAAGCCATGCTCACAGCATGTAAGGCAGAATTCTTTGGTTTCAATTGTTAACAATTATTTACCTTTGGCAAATGTGCTGACTTAATATCTCTTACACTGTCTTGTTTTTCCTTGTATTTTGCCTGGTCTAGTTTATAAGAGCCTTTAGCATAATAGGTTTGACTTAAATTCCGTTTTTCTCCCCATGCCATCACAGCTTTGTGCTCCTTGTAGATATTTGGTTGACTCTCCACTATTGGCTGCAACTTTATCAACAGCTGTGGGTCCTCCCATTCAAATACTGTCAAAATTGGGATCATTAAGGAGAATGAAGAACTGACTGTTACTAATATCCTTAACAAAATAACTTATTAAGGTGATCTTGTTGTTAAGTGCTGCTGACTCAGTTCTGATTTACAGTGACCCAGTATAGTGTTTCTAAGGAGCAACTGATTGGTTTGAACCACCGGCATTGTAGTTCAAATCAACCTTGGGGTCCAGTGCTTATCCTACAGCATACCAGGACTCCATCTTGGCTTTGTTTTATTAATGCAGAAAAGGTTTTCTTTCCATATTTTAAATCTTTTTTTTTTTTTTTTTCCCTTGCTACAAGGAAATATTTTTCCTAATGAAGTAATTTGGTCTTGAAATTCTTAGGAATGGTATTATTATTAAATGCCAAATTCTTTCATTCCAAAGAATGAATATACAACAATATATATATTTATGTGCTGAAAAGTCAGACTTTGATAAAACCCTGTGGAGCACAGTTTTCTTGTGACACACATAGGGTGGCCATGAGTTGAAATCTACTTAACAGCACCTGGGAAGGAAGATACATATACAAACGGGCTTCAAAAAGTTTGTGGGAAATTTTATTACCTCTTAATTACATTTTTCCATGAACATTTTCATGGTCCTTTGTATGTCTTTTCTATATCTACCAACTAAAAAGTAGATGAAATAGTACTTGGATATGACTTTGTCTTTGTTTTTTACCATATTTGCTGTTCTTTGTTTTTGCTTAGATTATTTCCGTGACTGGATTTGTTGACAGTGACAGAGATGACCTAAAGTTAATGGCTTACCTGGCAGGTGCTAAATACACAGGTTATCTATGCCGCAGCAACACGGTCCTCATTTGTAAAGAGTAAGCAAAATTTCGAAACTTCAGTTAATTTAAAATTTATATACAATATATGGCTCTTCCAATAATTATGCAGTTCTTATTATGGTACAAATTTGAATATGGATGCAAAAATCTTTTAAAAGAATGGTGATCTTCATCATAGTAATGTTAGCAGAAATCATATATTTGAATTAATTAGATTAAATAAGTTAATGTGAATTAATGAAATTAGTAAGGTAAACATTAGACTAAGAGAAATTGTATTTATTGGCAGTCTCATAGTCCAGTATGAGGATTGAAGGCTACATATAATTACCAGACAGTGATGACTATGAACTTTGCTAAGATATGCCTGGCATTTATAATAGGAGAAAATTGTTTTCATTGGCTTTTTTGAAAGTAAATATATATTTAAACAATAGACAACTCTAACATTTGATAAATGTGTTTTTTCCCTTAAAATAAAAAGACCAACTGGATTAAAATATGAAAAAGCCAAAGAGTGGAGGATACCATGTGTGAATGCCCAGTGGCTTGGTGACATTCTTCTTGGAAACTTTGATGCACTAAGGCAGATTCAATATAGTCGGTACTCAGCCTTTACTCTACAGGATCCATTTGCCCCCACTCCACATTTAGTTTTAAATCTTCTAGGTAAGTGAATTTGCACATGCTCTACATTTTGTTAAAATAAGAAGGTATTTCTGGTAGCAATATTGACGTAAAACTTACTTGAACTTTTGCCAGAAATGTCAAAGGTCCCTTTTGATTTATTTTCTAGCAAGTATTAGAAGTGTTTTCATCACATTTTTCTTTTTTTAAAAAACGTACTAATCAACAAGCTTGGCTTTAGCTTGCTAATCAGCTTTTCATTCATTTCTTGTGTTCTTTCCAAACTTTTATTCTTCCCTATTCTGTCCAGGGCTTTTTGCTGATTTGATATTTTTTGTTTGTTTGAATAGATTCTAGATGGAAGGAATGTTTGGAAGCCTTTTTAGTTTTGTCTCGCAAGCCTTTATACAAAATGCTGCCTGTACTGTGAAACACATTCCCTGCTCTCTCTCTTTTCCAAATTAGAATTGATGCCTCTTCCTCTATATCATTTACTGCACTACATTGAATTGCTGTTTCATCATGGCCATCATGATGCCTTATCTGATTGGGAGTAGTGTGCATGCCTGGAACTCTTCCTTTTAATTCTAAAGAAAACGGCCTGGTTTTGTACCATCCTCGTTGTAAATCTTACACTTAGTTTCAGTTCCACATGGTTTACCATTTATTGAGCATTATTCAAAAATGATCATTCAGCTGCAACTTTAATAACCTCTTTTAAGGAAAACTTTAATCATGAGAAAGCTCTTCATTTTGACCCATAATGTACTTCTCTTTAACATATCTGTTGGTTTTCTTCAACTCTAGAATGATTATAAAGACTTTTGTTTTATAGATACTCATCTTTATTTAAATATTATCATGTCTACTCTGCCACACCAGGATAACATGCTTCTCTCCTCAGCCATACCCTGTTTAATGTGTTTTCTTCACATTAACCACCTCTAGTCTTAGCTGGTTTGTTCGAGGTCAGATTGTGTAGTGTCCAGATCTGGAACAACAGTCAATATATGATCTAACCAGAAAACAAACTGGAATGATCAGTACTTTGAATTTTCATATGCCATTTGCTTTTTTGTTTGCTATTTTTCATATAGATAACAAGCTTTCATAGAGATAGTCTATAATTTCTTCCTCATTTTACTGAGAAAAATTTATAACTCAAGTATAACCATTACATTTATCTGTGTTAAATTTTGTCAGCTAGGTTACCTATGTGTCTAGAATTTCCAACCCTCAGAAAAGGCTTTTACAGAAAGGCTTTTCTATTCAAACAATGTATTGTTATAAAAATAACATATTTCTCTCTTTAGATGCTTGGAGAGCTCCATTAAAAGTGTCAGCAGAGTTGTTGATGGTATGTCATGTTAATCACCTTGCTTTGGATGTTTCAAAACGCAGTGGGAATATTGTATGTTTAAATTTAAAATTCTTTTGATAATTTATCAACATCATAATGAAGGCTGTATCTCCTTATCTATCATAAAATGTTTCATATATCCCAGGTCTGGTTGTTTTCATAATTATTGATGGTGTATTAAATGGACAAAGTTGGAGGAAATATATATTTTCTAGTTCCCTATATAGTTCTCTTATTTGCAATTAAATTCTCTAGAGAATTTCACAGAGATGAGTGATTGCTTAAAGGATAGGAGAGAGAATAAAACCATAAGACCACTTTGTGCACTTTCTGTTTTGTTTTTTTGTGTAGGATTAGCAAGGTAAGAACATGGAGAACATCCAGTAGAAATAATCCGTTGCCTTAGATGGCACGTTAGCCACTCTAGGCCACAGATTTATAACTAAAGGAGCATCTGATCCAATTTGAGGAGGAAGAAATACTTCTAGTGTCCCAAGTTGAGTGTCATATCACTTTGGTTTGTTGTTGTTATTAAGTACCGTGGAGTCGGCTCCGACTCTATAGTGATCCTGCACAGGGTTTCCGAGGCTGTAAATCTTTACTGGAACAGAACACCTCATCTTGCTCCCGTGGAACCGCTGGTAGTTTTGAACTGCTGACCTTGAGGTTGGCAGCCTGACTCCTAACCACTATGCTACCAGAGCTCCTTCTCACTTTGGGTTAGGTCTCTGATAAACATTTCAGGATAGACTGACTATTCTGGAAGATTAAATGCTGTTCGTTGCTGTTCAAACTAACGAAATAAGGACTATCTGCTTTCTCATCTATAAAGTCAAAGAGTAGTACATTAATTCTGATTTTTCACGTTGAGTTTCCTAGTGTTGATAGTCACCATTTAATTGCACGTCATCACAGTAAGAACAGTATTTTTATCCTTTGTAATTTGAAGACTTAAGGTTACATACATATTGTATGTAAACTGTTTTTCAATAATGGTCTTCTGTGTTCATATGTTTATTGATGTTGATTTACATAAAGAGATAATTTAGGACTTGTAATCACCTTAAACAACTGATAATATTCTTGTCAGGATTACCACATACCTTCTAATTATTGACCTACTGACTTATTTAAAACATCCAGTCTGGAAGCTGCTGATAATTATCTATAATCGTTCAGGCAGCCTCTTGACTATTGTCTTGTTTGTTTAATGCTAATGAGAACATATGTATTTTTCCCTACTATAAACTAGTAATTCTGATTTTAATAAATCATGACCTGCTCTCCACATCAGCAAAAGTAAATATTCTCTCCATTCATTTGGATGGAGGGAATTTTAGGGTGACTTCTAAGACCAAGTTGGGAAAGTAGTCACCAATTTTTCCTAAACTAAAGGTGAACATCTAAGCGACTAGGAATCTAGTTGATCCTTTTTGTGTATCCTGCCATTTCTTTCTGTCATTGCTATTGCAGACCTAATTGTGATCGTCTGGATTTTTCAAAAAAGGGTAGTAGCAGAGACTTTCTGACAAAGCTTGAGAACGGCTTGCCTTGTTCTAATGCTGTGAAGGAGCCCAACTGAGCTGAAATAGAGAATTTAGGGTTTTTCTTGTAAATAATAAGTACAGATATTACTTATAAGAAATAAATATTTATAATTAGTAGTAAGAAATAGTATAAATCTCACAAATTATTATAAAGCTTGATTCTCTGTGTCTGAAAGGGTTACTAGATGTTAACTATTTTATATGTAGATTTTCTTGTGTTGGGCTAGCGAAAACGAAATGAACTGGCACAGTGGCTGCAATAGTTGACTCCAGCGTAGCAGTGATTAGGAGGATGGCGCAGGGCCAGGCAGTGTTTGGTTTCATTGTATATTGGATCACAGTGAGTTGGAACTGGCTTGATGGCACCTAACAGCATCGTGCTTGTATTTGTTTTGGTTGTTTAGAATTGGCAGCATTATTTAGAAAAACATAAATGGTAGTCAAACTATATTAATATGCTCAAGAGGTGGTTATTTTAAATAGTAAAGCTTGTGCTTTTTTTTTTAAAGAAATTCATGAGTTTAAAGTTTGCAAAAGAGGTAGACAAGATATTGCAGTAAAATTGAGAAAATGACTGTGGCAGAAATCCCAAAAGGGAAGACTGTCTTCTTACTTCTCTCTTTCTCTTGCTTGGCATGGCTTTCTGCTCCCAGGTTAGGACCTCAAGCTATTTCTACTGAACATGGACACTGATCCTGAGAAACAGATTGTGGGTTTCATTACCTTGTTTAGCTAAATACTATTGATCTGATTGTCATTATTTTTTATACCACTGCAGAGGTGATATTTCTGTTTTAGGAATAATCTCTTTTAGAGGGATGTAATTATATTGATTATATTTATCAAATTTGGGCACAAAACAAAATATTTGAAACTAAAATTTTCCTCAAAGGTTCAAAGTTGGGATACAAATAAGAAACATGAGATGAGAGGACAGGATAAAGATGTCTTGAAGAAATTGATAGGATTTGGTAAATAAAGAAGGAAGAATAAAATATGATAAAGGAATTTCTAGCTGGAATAAATAATGTCTGCTTCTGACTTAACCTTTTTTATCTTTTTAGGCATATACTATTCTGTGTTAAAGAACATGATTCTTGTAGATAATCAGAAAGTTTATTTTATACATAAATCTTCTAGAAGGTGCTATATTACTTAGGAGATTGTTGATTTAAATAAACAATATTTTAATTGCAGGGTGTAAGATTACCTCCCAAACTGAAACAGAATGAAGTAGCTAATATCCAGCCTTCTTCCAAAAGAGCCAGGTATGAATAATTAGCTTCCTTTTTTTATGAGTGGCTATCTTTCACTGGTCTGTTTTAGAAAACTGGCAGCAATTAGGGATTTCACAGTAATTAGAATTTGAAAGAGTTTGGTTCACAATTTTATTGTGATTATATCTCATTGTATTGCAGGAGATCAATGGTGAATAATGACAGGCAATGCCTTTGTTTTGTTTTGTTTTTTTAATTGAAACTTTTTCTTAAAGTAGACTCTAACCCAGAACCCCCGGTATATAAAACAAACTGCTGTGGTTGAAATGGTGTGAGTGGTCTAGAACCCCAGGTCATGAGACAGCCTGTGGTTCCCTAGGCCTATACAGGCAACTGTTTCAACACTAGTATGATACTGTAGGATAAGCACTGGACAACAAGGTTGGTTTGAGTTGCAAAGTCGGTGGTTCAGATTTACCAGCTGCTCCTCAGAAATCCTTTACAGGGTCTCCAAGGGTTGGAACCTACTCAGTGGCAACAAATAACAACAACAGTTTAGGTGTGCTGAAAAAGCAACCTTGGTGTGAAATTCTCTTAAGCCTGCTCTGTTTGCCAGTGTGTGGTAAGGAGCAGGGATAGGGCTGCACTAACTGGTGGGAAGGAGGCCTGGACCCCTTTGGAATCAGGTGTGCATACTAGCCAGAAAGGAAATCCTGCTAGTAATTTGTCTAGTAAAGCTTGGCAAGTAGAGGAACACATCAAAGAAGCGTTTTCTATTCTTGTTAAAAATCTTCTGTTTTAACTATATTTGATGCAATACACTTTCTCTACCTAAATGTTGAGTGAGCAGGGTTTCAACCCTGTTCTTCCCATTCAGTTATGACTGAGAAAGTGAAACGTAAACAGACCCCCAAATTAAAAAAATTTGGAATAGGAAATACTACTAATCGAAGTCCTTCTAGAATCTTAATCTTTATCATAGAAATCAAAGTTGTATAACAGCCAGGTCTTCTGTCCATCAGATTTTAAGCAGAGTCGGAAGCAAGAGTGTCCCACTCCAAGACCGTTTGAAAGTGTGTCACTCACTACAGTCCTGCCAGTAGTCTTATCTCGGGCATCAGACTCCTCAGAGGGCTCACTATACTTCTTCCAATTATCCCTTTCCAGGGTTTGACCCATAATTACTCTTGTTCTCGTTATTCTGAATCACTCCAATTTTTAAACTTCAGGTCTATTTCAGTTTCACTTTGCCAGCTATGAACCAGTTTAAACCGGTTCAAGGCCCTGATTTAAATGTGTTGCAATTACTAGTTTCTTCATCACTTTGCACTGCTCTGCTCCTCATCGTTCCTTCCTTCCATTCCCTGCAACCAGAACACAAATTGAATTATTGTATTCTGTGTAAAATCGTAATTTTATGATTATATTTATGTAAGACTCTGATCAAAATGCCACGATTTTTTTTTTACATTCTAGACTCTCATTTAAATACAAACTGAAAATTAGGATTTGAAAAAATCCAAGGGAAATATGAAATACTGAGAAGTTTAATTTAAAATATGTACTTGAGTAAAACAGTTTCTTTAATCTCTCTGGTATAAAACAGATCTGGTTGAGGACTGAAGGCTAAAATTTAAAAAAAGAAATAGTCTGCCCTCCAATTTCTAGTCATTCTGAATCTGCAGAGTCAAACAATCGCAGATTTAAAAAATCTGAAAGAGGGGGAAAAAAACGATAAAATGGTCAAAGCAATCCTTCAGAGACTAAGAGAGAGTGGAACTTGCTATTTGTATAGTATTTACAATATATTAGGTATTTCAGGAAAGAACCCTGGTTGGTAGGTAGTAGATTATATGTTCAGCTGTTAACTACAAAGCCAGCAGTTTGAACCCACCAGCTATTCTGAGGGAGAAAGATTAGGCTTCTGCTTCTGTAAAGGTTTATGGCATATAGACAGCCCTTTGCAGGGGTCACTGATGGCACATAACCACCACCACTAAATAATATCAATAATCTAGAAATCATTTAAGGGATTATTGAGTGGTTTAAAATCAGGAAAAGTGTGCTTCACCATAATTACTCAGTGTACATACTAAGCAAATAATCTGAGAATTTGGATTAAATGAAGAAGAACATGGCATCAGGATTGGAGAAAGACTAATTAGCAACCTGCAATATGCAGACAGCACAACCTTGCTTACTGGAAATGAAGAGGTCTTGAAGAACTTAACTGGTAAAAATTATAGACTGTAATCGTCAGTATAGATTGCATCTCAGTCTAAAGAAAACAAGAATCCTCACAACTGGATCAAAAAATAGCATGCTAAACAGAGAAAAGTTAGAAGTCTGATTTGCTTGGATCCGCAATCGACACTTATGGTAGCAGCAGTCAGGAATTCAGTTGACACATTACATTAAGCAAATATGCTGCAAAAGACCTCTTTAAAAGTGTTCAAGAGCAGAAATACCAGTTTAACAATTGGGTCACCTCATAAGCATGCAAAAGCTGGACAATGAATAAAGAAGACTGGAGAATTGATGCCATTTGCATTATGTTGGTGGGAAACACTATTGAAAGCTCCATGGACTACCAGAAAAACAAACATCTGTTTTGAAAGAAGTATAGCCAGAATGCTCCTTGGAATTGGTAGAAGACTCCCAGCAAATTGGATCTACAAAGTGACAGCAATAATGGACTCAAATTGTAACAACAGTTGTGAGGATGGCATTGGACTGTTTTCTTTTGTACATAGGCTTGCTGTGACTTGGAATGGACTGGACAGCACATAACATCCACAAAAAATAATTGAAAGTGTATGGGAGGATCTGTGTAGGTTATTGTAAATACTGTACCTTTTATAGGAGTTGATCTGTGGGGATCCAGTCCCTGAGGATACTGAAGGACACAATACTGGATATTTTGGGGACAGTCCCTGGCTTATTTTTATCAATTGTTAATGTTTAACAGCAAGCAAGGAATGACCAAAGTCATAAAAGATTGTTTTAAAAGCTTGCTATAAGAATTAAGAATGTTGATGATGCATGGAGGGGATTGTAACCATAGCAATGAAATGGTATACGATAGGATGAATGTAAAACTAATGTTCTCCCGTGTAAACTATCACATAATTCAAAATAAAACATAAAAAAAGAATTAAGAACGTTTGTGACTTTGTGGAGTGAGCATTGAGTTGCTAACCGCAAGGTCAGTTGTTTAAATCCACCAGCTGCTTTGCCTGAGATAGATAAGGCAGTCCCTTCCTGTAAAGATTTATAGTCTGTCAAAGTCTAAGGAGTACTTCTGCTCTGTCCTATGTAAGGTAGTTGTGAAACAGAATTGACTCAGTGGTGGTGGGGGGTTTTTTGTTGTTGGTATTAGTAATGATAGAGTCCTGGTGTGGCTCTGTAAGATAAACAGTGGACTGCAAGGTCAGCAGTTCAAATTCACCAGCTGCTCCTTGGAAACCCTATGCAGGGTTACTATGGGTTGGAATGGACTTGATGGCACTTAACAACATTAGTAATGGTGAAGCTGGCAAAATTAATGAGATGAAAATGTCTAACTTTAATTTTTACACTTTTTAATGCCTTGTTTTCCTCTTAATTTCAATTGGGAGTGGATTTGATAAAGAGGAGAAAGTTATTTCTATTAAAAGTTCATTAAAAGAAAAAAAGCTAATTGAGTTATTTCTTTTGGAACTGTTTGTCTTTGTGTGTGCAACTTTACAAGGAAGGACAAGTAACTCATTATTACTTGTACATGTTTTCCATAAGTACAAGCTTATACACTTAAAACGTTCTAAAGCCTTTTAAAAATCTTCCCTTGTTTTCTAAAGATGTTTAAGTCAATGAAGTCCTTTTTTTTTTTTTTTTTAATTTTGTAGACTTGAAGATATACCACCTCCCACTAAAAAGTTAACACCAGAATTGACCCCTTTTGTGCTTTTCACTGGATTTGAGCCTTATCAAGTTCAACAGTATATTAAGGTGAACTTTTATTCTACTTTGTACCCGAATTTTTAGCTATATCCCTTTTCTGTACATATTTGCTTTTGGATAGCAGTTTATTAAACATTTAATCAGGATTCTCTTGTTAAAATAGTCTCTATAGTATTTATTGATAAAGTATTTACAACAGTATTTCTAGTAATAAGTAGTCATTAAATTGTTAGCACTTTCCCATTTTGTTCTGTGCTGTAATTTCATACTTAACATACTTGTTTTTTATTTAAGCTGTTTTTTTATTACTTTATTTTATGCTTTTTATATACTTAATGAAATATACTAGACAAAATAATTGCTATTTCAACCAAAATAATTGCTATTTCGGGGAGTATTCCATTCTTTTCCAAGTTCTGGAAAAATTTAAGGAATGTCGGTGTTAGCTCTTCTCCTGAATATTTCATAGAATTTACCAGTAAGGCCATCTGGGCCAGTACTTTTTTTATTGGAAGTATTTTATGACCTATTCAGTTTCTCCTTTTAGGATGGGTCCTCTTCAAATGTTCTACCTCACTGTTTTTATTGTGTAGGTAACATGTTTCTAGAAATTTGTTCATTGCTTCTAGGTTTTCAAATTTGTTGGAGTACAATTCTGTGTAGTATTTTGTCCTTACCCTTTTTACTTCAGTTGGTTCTTTTGTGATTTGTCTGTTTACTTTCTTACTTGCATTTTCTTCTTTTTTCTTAAATTTGCCAGTGACTTACCAGTTTTATTACTCCTTTCAAAAGAACCAACTACTAGTTGTGTTGACTCTTATTTTTTTTCTGTGTTGTGCAATTTATTTCTCCTTAAATCTTTATTGACTATAAGCTTTTTTAAAATTATTAGCACTGTTAGGATAAAGTACTGATTTTGGTTATTTCTTCTGTTTTGATATGCGCATTTATTGCTGTAAATTGCCCTCTGAATATTGCTTTTGCTGTTTCCCAAAGATTTTAGTATAGTGTGTTTTCATTTGATTCTACGTTTTTATTATTATTATTATTACCCTGTAGTTTTTAAGCAGGAGTGCTGGTGTGATGCTGTTGGGTCATTATGAGTTAGAACCAACTGGACAGCACTAAACAGCAGTGCTGCTGAGTTGGATCCTACTCATAGCAAATCTATATATAGGGTTTCCAAGGAGTGGCTGGTGGGTTTGAACTTCAGACCTTGTGGTTTGCAGTCCAGCGCTGCTTCTGTCCTTGTAGTTTGAGGTCAAGTGCTGATCTTACAGCACCACAGCAGGAGTATTACAGGGTGTTATTCAGTTTCCATAAAGTTGTTTTCCTTTTTCTTTCTGTTGATTTCTAATTTTGTAGCATTGTAATCTGAGACAAAGCTTTGTAGTAATTTGATGTTTTTAAAATTTATTGAGGCTTGCTTTGCAGCCTCACATGTGATCTATTCTGGAGAATATTACATGTTCACTGGAAAAGAATGATTTGTGCTATTTTGGAGCGAAGTATACTGTATATAGACAATGTGAGGTCTAGTTGGTTGATTGTGTTGTTTATTTCTTTGGTGTTTTCATTGTTTCTTTCTAGTCATTCTGTCTTCCCATTAGAAGTTGTGTGAAAAGAAATAGTTAGAAATAATCTCCTATTAGAAATGTTGTTATTGTTGTTAAGTGCTGTTAAGTAGGTTCCAACCCATAATGACCCTATATAGGGTTTCCGAGGAGCAACTGGTGAGCTTGAACTACTGACCTTGCGGTTCATACGGCTTTGCAGTCTGATGCATTAACTCACAGCACACCACCATTAGAAATAGTCTCCTACTATTTCTGTTTCCAATTTTGTAAAAGTATTTTATAAAAAATATTGCCAGTCCTACCTTTTGTTTTTTGTTGTCATTTGCTTAATATATGCTTTTCCATCATTTGATTATGAACTTATTTTTGTCTTTATCTCTAAGGTATGTCCCTTATAGATAACATTGATGGATCTTACTTTCTTATCCATTCTGCTACTCTGTCTCTTGACTGGTCCATTTAATCCATTTGCATTCACTATAATTATAAGTAATGAATTTACTGCTACCCGTGTGTGTGTGTGTGTGTGTGTGTGTGTGTGTGTGTGTGTGGTGTTTGTTTCTTTGTTCTTGCTATTTTTCTGTGTTGAGTTTGTTTTGTTCCAGATTTTCTTATTTCCTTTGTTACTATTTTTTGGTATTTATAGAAACTTTATGATTTTCTTTATTTTGGTAAGAAAGTTTATTAATTTTCTTTGAGATTTCCCTGTAACTTATTATCCTCCCAAATTTAAAACAGTCATTTCTATTTTGATATTGTCTTGGCTTCCTCGCTATTTGGAAGTTCTATAGCTACATAATTTATTCCCTCTTTGTGCTTTGTAGTTGTCATCGTTTACAAACTGACAACTAGTTCCCTGTTTTCAGTGTTTTAAGTTTAGTTAAGTTTTGATCTTCTGGGTTATGGAGCCCTTGTGGTGTCATGGGGCAAGCATTGGACTGCTAGCTGCAAGATCACGAGCTCCAACTCACCAGCCATTTCATGGGAGAAAGATGAACCTGTTTGCTCACATCAAACGTTAAAAGCCCTAAATAGAAGCTCTACCCTGTCCTATGAGGTGGCAGTGGGTTTGGTTTTAGTTATATCTGAGTTTTTTTGGGGGTGATGCTGTTATATGTCTTAATCTCTACTTGTTGTCTGCCATTATTGGTTCTCTATCCAAAGGACTCCCTTTAGTATTTCTTGTAAGGTTGGTCTAGTTGTTACAAAGTCCTTTAATTTCTGTTTTCCTGAACATTTCCTAATTTCACTGTAGTAATTTGAAGGACCGTTGTGCTGTGAATATAATTCTTGTTTGGCAATTTTTACTTTCAGAGTTTTATGTATGTCATTCCATTGCCGCCTTGTTTGCATGGTTCTGCTGAGAAATCAGAGCTTTTAGAGTCTATCCTGTTTGAGATTTGTTGAGTTTCTTGAACTCATGTAGTCTCATCATGATATTAGAGAAGTTTTCTTACAATAATGCTTCAGCAGTTACTCCTGTGCTTTTTTTTTTTTTTTTTTTTCCGGATCTATGACTGTTCTGGAATTCTCTTCCTACGTAAGTCATTCCTTTTGATGGTGTCTCATATAATTTTGGAGTCCTGGTGTGGCACTATGGGTTAATGCATTGGGCTGCAAAGTCGGTTTGAACCACAAGATTGGCCGTTCAAGCTCACTAGCTACTCGGAAACCCTATACAGGGTCACTATGGGTCGGAACTGACTCAACAGCACTTAACAACAATAGCAATAACATATGATTCTTAATACTTTTCTATTGTTTGTTTTGTTTTGCTTCTTTGATTGTACCTGTAACAGATATGTCTAAGATTTTCCTATTAAAATATTTGTCCTAAATTTCTTTAGTTTTTTTTTTTATTGATTCAATTCTACTACTTTGTCTTTCCAGTGGATTACCTTTTTCTGAAATTTAGTGTTAATCTTCTGGATTTCTATGTGATAATTTTCTGTGGTTTCTAATTTCATATTTGTTTTGTCAGTTTCTTCTTATAGTTTTCCTGAATGCTTCTGGAGTTTTGTTTATGTTTTCTTTGACTTTTTTTCTGTGGTTCCCTTTATCTCTTCTGAATTTACTATTTATTTTGTTGTTGTTGTGTGCCATTCAGTCAGCATAAGTTGTCTGAAATCGTTACTAGATATTTCCAATAGCATTTCTTCTTCGGGAAGATTTTCTGACCCTTTATTTTGGTCACTAGTTTATGACATCTTCTGCTTGTGTGTGTGTGATTTGTAGTTGTTTGTTGTTTCTTAGACATTGTGGTGGTATTGTATTAATTTATTGATTGCATATTGATTTCCATCACCTTTTTTTGTTTTGTCCTAATACATCCAGGAAACAGGACAGGTGTGCTTCTCTGTTGCTAGTTTGGAAACTTTGGGGTTCTCACCATCTGTCTCTTAGTGGGTTTGGTAGTGGGTGGGAGGGTATGAGACTCTTACTGCTGGTTGTGTAGAGCATCTGAGGGGCAGGCTGGGTGAGTATCGGCTGCTGCCATTTACCCAGTGGTACTAGAGCAGATGTAGCAGTTGCCCAGTGTGGGGAGCCGTCGGTGTGGTGCGTATGGCTGAGTAGAGTTGCTGGCTCATAACTGCTGGGGGAAAAAAACAGTCTAAAAAGGGTGGTGGGAAAACAAGAGGAATGGGTAAGAGGGAAGACCTTAGAAGATAGAGATGAAGAAAAAATGAGAAAAACAAAAGCAAAAATGGTACACTATTTGCATAAGGCTAGTTACCAAACATGGCTGTGGCTAGAGAGCAGGCTCACTCTGTGGGAGCATACTACTCACTAAGTGCAGAGGGTCAAGACATGTGCTATTGAATTTGGAGAAGAGGAGGGCAGGGCAGCCACATGTAGCATTGTGAGGAAAAAGAAAAGGGATGGGAAAGAACAGGAAGGGTGAAAAAAATCAAAGAACAAAAGGGGTGAGGGAAGAACTAAGAATAAAGGATAAATGAAAAAGAAAAAAATGTGGCACAGTTCTAGCTCAAACATTACCCATGAAGCATGACTGCTGTGGTCACACAGAGCTCACTACATGATAATTTTTATCACTATCCAGAGGTGTAGCAGTGGGTGCAGTTGACCACGGATGCCAGTAGGGGCAGGTACCTACTTCATGGTATTAAAAAACAGCTAAGGGGATGAGGTAGAAAAAGAAAAAAAAATGGAAAAACAAGGGGCGGGGCAGGGGGCAAGGGGAACTAAGAAGAAGGGAAATAGGGGGGAAAATCAGCACAGTAGTGGTGAAAGTTTTATTCACCAGATAGGCTGTGTCAAGAAACAGGATCACATACCATTGATCAAGTAGGGACGTGTGCTGGCACTGCTTATCAAGGAGGTGAGTTGGTATGGAACATCTGCTCTCAGGGATTTTAAAAGGGGTGGGGAAGAATGACGGAAGAACTAGAAACAAAGTTAAAATAGCGGAAACAAAATGACACAGCACTGGCAGTGGTAGGGAAGGGGTTTGAGCAGCCACCAGCTGAGGAGTATAGTGCATCTCTGATCACAGGGATGTTGTACATGATAAGCATGGAGATCACTCCTGTTTGATTACTGATTTCCAGTAATTGTGCTGTTGCAGTCCTGAGCGAGTGAAGTTTATTGTATGATTCCTGCTCTGATGGGATGCTGCTTACAGTCCTTCAAAATGATCACGTTATGCTATCTGCAGTTTACTGCTCTGTATGCCTATTTACTCATCGTTTTCATTTAGTGTTTTTCTCTCATCAGTATTTGATCTATTTGTTTATCTTTTTTTTAAAGCTCTGGTTTCCAAGGTTGTCATCTGTATCTGTTTCACTTGGTTTCTCGAGTCTTTGTTGTAGAGGGTTTGGAGAGTGTATCTTTGTGGTCTGCCATCTGGGATCTACCCTTGAATATCATTTTTAATAAAGATATCTACCTACCCTAAAACAATGACTGGTGCCTCTTAAACTTTTGATTAAACTGTAGCTTTTTTAGATAAGGCTAAGTCAGAGTATGGGTGGTTTATTTGTTTAGATAATAAATAGTAATGTTAAATATACATGTGAAATAACTAATAATAGGATTTTATTTTAATTTTGTGTGGATTTTTTTGCATGCAGAGGAAGTGAGTGGAGAATATGTATATCACACTGGGTATCATGTATTTTGTTTCTAATTTTTTCTGTAAAGAAAAGAAACAATTATGAATGCTAATACTTTTTTATTCCTTTAGAATGTTAGCATAGTTGTGTAGAGTTCTTTTTAAATATGTTCATGTCTTCTCAATTTTTATATTAACGTTTTTTGTTTTTTTAAAATAGAGATAGGTTCCTCGTTAATTCCAGTTTAAAGTAGAAAATCTGAATGTATTTGCTCTGTGCTATGAAATGAGTGGCATATTTCTTGGGTTTTATTTCTTCAAAAGGATGTGTCATTTACATATGATGGAGAATTCCATATTCTAAATTTGATTTATGTGTTATGCACTATAATATGGCTTTATAGATTTTAACTTGTCACTTCTGATCTAACTATCTAACTTCCAGAAGCTCTATATTCTTGGCGGTGAGGTTGCTGAGTCTGTGCAGAAATGCACACATCTTATTGCCAGCAAAGTGACTCGCACTGTGAAGTTCTTGACAGCAATTTCTGTGGTAAAGCACATAGTGACTCCAGAGTGGTTAGAAGAATGTTTTAAATGTCAAAAATTCATTGGTAAGTAGTAGCATCAGTACTTTGATTTTAATGCCCAGTAAACTTCAATGTTTCTTTCTCTACTTTATCTCCATCCTTATCCCAACAAACATCTTACTCATTTTTTAAGTATTTGAAAATTGTCACTGAAATTGGTAAGGTTTTTCATGCCCCAGCTATTTATTTATCTTTGGGTTTACCTTAAAAAATGTAAAGGCTTATGTAATTAGAAAATTTTTAGGGAAAACAACTAAGCTCTGTATCCTTGTTTTGTTGTTTTCTTATTAATTTCTTTTGTTTAAAAATATGGAAGCAAAATGAGATACATCACAGTGCCGTAAAGTGTACGTTTCTCTTTACCTGGAAAGAGAACAGGTTTCTGAAATGATCTGGCCCCATTTGAATATAAGTTTTATGCAGGAGTGACACATGCCTACCATCTGTTGCTCATCCATTGTTTAGAGCATAGTAGTGCATTCTTGTTGCTAGCACACAGCAGTGAGGATCCTTATTGTAGTCACATTTAGAGATGGTACTAGTATATGTTTTGTTTTCAGTTGTAGTACAAATTATATACTATAAATAAAGGAAGGGGGTATTTCAGGTTAATAAATACACCTACGTGCTTTTAGAGCCTTGTTAAGTATGAAATGAATATAAAATCCAAATGATTCTTTTTCTATAGAAGCTATATAGCCAAAATAGTGTATACCTTTTTGATCATAAAAAACAATAATAGTACACTTGATATGCAGAGCTGGTATATTCCCAACCCCACGATGTAGGTCAGGAATCAGCAGCCTTTGAAAAATGTCTTTGAGTCCTCATCTGGCATTTTTGCTTTGGTGGCAGCAGCTGTATGAGGCTTCCCTGCTTTCTCAGTATTGTTTTTTGGTTGGTCTCTATGCCTCTGCAGTGATATGCAACTTAACACTTGGTACCCATCCCATATTAATTACTATCCTCTGACTAAGGGTATCCACTTGCTTTTATATTTTTATACTAGTAATTTGCCTGTATTGCCCCATTCTACTTACAGTTTCTCAACTCTGTCTCTCACTCCTTGCCCCATAAGCAGTATTATACACTGTATGGCCATGGAACAAGCAAAACCAGCAAAGACTATTGAGGCCTTCATCAATACCGTGTTCCTCTGATAGACTGACATAGCTGTAGTTATCACTTACCAGGTAGAAGTCATTATTAAATCAGTGTTTATTATAAAATATTTCAGTTATATCATTTTCTTGGTATCTGGCATTTAAGCATCATTTAGTTTTCAGTTGAAATAAAATAATGTATAATTTTAAAGTTTATATAGATTGATTTTACAAATGATAAAATCGAGAGAAATATTCTTAAGGTTGCTCTTTATATCAGAGCTAGACCCAAACTGGTAGCCCTGTGGGATAATACACTGGACCATGAGGTCAGTGGTTGAAATTCACTAGACGCTCCTCAGAAACCCTATAGAGGGTCACTGAGTCAGAACCAACTTGAAAGCACTTACCAATAAGAACCAAACTTAAAATTCCATGTTACTATATCCAAAGCAATAAGTTATTAATAGAATAACTAAAAGAGAAGAATATATCATTAATCTGATAGAAAAATTATATCCCCAACTGCAGTGTATTAAGTAGTATTTAGAAATTTTGTTCTCAATTGAAATTTTAGAACGAGTTTTCCCTTAAATGAAAATGTATTAGTGAAACAGACTTCAAGATTGAAGGCAAAAAAAAAAAAGGAGAAGCAGTTACTTTTGTTGTTGTTCTTAGGTGCCATCGAGTCGGTACCGACTCATGGTGATCCTATGCACAACAGAACAAAACAGCCCAGTCCTGGGCCTACCTCACAATTGTTGCCC